CTGCAGCTCCTTTCTCATTCCACTTCAAGGATGGGGGGTGGGAGCTCAGCATCTGGTTGTCCTCTGTGTGGAAGAACTCACTAGCACTAAGGAAGTGAAAGCGTTCCCATGGCCCAATTTAATCGTGGCTAGCACACTCCACGAGTTCTGGCAGGGTGGGCTGGGTAGGTGTGTGACAGAGTGGACAGCTTGGATTCTCCAGCTCCAGAGAGCTGGTGGTGACAGGAATCTGGCTTTTACTTATAGCTTTTATTTGCTAGCCCTTCAGGTCCTTCCTAGACCTGCTTGTAAAACAGCCCATGAGGCAGCTGATCCTGACACTGGGGCAGTCTAAAGCCAGCTGCCACTCCCAGAGTGACTGAAAAGGGACATGATAGAGACATGTGGCTTTTCCAGTAAATTGCCTTTGTGTGTGCTAGGAAGCTGCCAGCGTGGGCCTTAGATTTCAGTCCTGTTTTCACCAGTAACTCTGGATGCTTTGATTCAGACATGTGTGGATGGATTAGTGCTAAGTGTTGAGGAGACAGCTTCCACATGTACAATGTTTATAATGTCATCTCTGAGAGCCCAGTATTTGAATCCTCAGGGCCTTGGAAGGAAGGATGGGGACAGTTCAAATAATTTGCTTCTTTTCCAAGTGGTACCTCTAGTGAAAGTTGGTCAGTCCAGGTAAAATGTGCTGTAACTGGGGCCAGTGGGTGGTGTGGTGGTTGAGGTGTTGGACTCCCACGCAGCCAACCATGGTTTGAGTCCTGAACCTGGTGGTTTACTTTCTCACTTTCCCTCTTTATCTCTGTGTGTGTCTCTCTCTGGTCAGATTAAAAAATAATAATAGTAAAAAAGAAAATTTAATAAATATATTTTTTAAAAGTGCTATAGCTCTCTGAATAGCTCCTTCTGCCTGCCCCATAGAGCTGGGGCCTTGCAGGTGGGCCTGATTCTTCTCACGGTCCCGTTTTCTTCTCAAGCCTGGCTTAGCTGCCCTGTAACATATGTCTTGCTTCCTGCCAGGTTAATTTCCAGGCCCTACAGGAGGCAGCAGCCTTTGATTCAGAAATGTCACACTGTCCTCAGATGCCTCTTGGTTTTCGAGTGGCATTTCCTGGCTATCTGTGGATCTCATCTCCCTTCTACAGCAAGATGCTCAAAGGACACGGGCTGCTTTTGATCTTCAAGTGCGTGTGCTTGTTTTTCCCTTCTCCTGTGATCTATTGAGACTTAGCATTGCATTGTCATCCTATTAAAGAGGGCAGCCCGTCATCTCTGAGAGCGTGCTGGCTTCTCTACCTTCCCCGGAGACTTTGAAGTAATTGTGGGAATTAGCAGAGGCATTTCACGGTAGCACCAACTTAAATGTATTTATGTGAGTTCATTTTGTTCTCGCTTCTCTGTTCTTTCAAAGCTTTTGGCACAGGGTGGATGGGTGCTTTATGATTTTAGATCTTTGATGTAACGGCTTGTTTTCAATTATACTCATGAATTTTAATAACAGCTATTATTTTAATAACAGCTATTATTGTTATTTGTGGTGTTTTTCTGTCTTTTCTCCCTAACTTTTCTTCCTCTTCCTCACTCTCCCATCTCCAAAGGGAACAGGGAGGATTTGGTCCAGTCTCATTTTTTTTCTCCCCCCTGCTTGGAATTCAACTTTTTCACCACTCTCTTTCCATTCCCCAAAGATTACTATGGCTGATACTTAGTTTTTGATGCTTGATTTCACACTGTTGGAGAGAAGGGGGAGGGAAAATGAGCATTTCAGAGAAACAGAACTCATTTTGTTCTAATTTCATGTTGGGCAGTAATCACTTGCAGCCCACAATTTTGGAAATGCAAATTTAGCAAATTACCTTATAACCAGACCTTGGTAGAGATAGTCTTGGAAGAGGCTGGCTCTACAGGAGAAGCTGAGGGTTTAGGGTAAATAGTGGGTTGTTTTTGTTTTTGTTTTATTTGTCTTTTGATTCTTTGAAGTACTAACCTGTCCTTTAGTAATTTGTACTAATTCTCTGTGGCATTTGCCACATGAAACATTTACCTTAGTTAGGTGTGAGAATATCAGAAACCTGTTGTCAAAGGTGTAATGACAATAAATCATATCCATTAGGAGGCCTGTTCAGACTGGAATGTAGAGCAGGAAAACATTCCGGGACCAGCAGATAATGGTTACATCGCTGGACTCCTATGTAGTCGACTGTGATTCTGCCTAAAATTCACGCTAGGTGTATGTGCATACCTCCCCAAAATTCCTAGAGAATGGAGGAGAAGGCATTGTGGTGTGGTCATCCCCCCACCCCCCGCAGGGGAGGGTGGTGGTGGTGGTTTATCACTTTCTGTCTCTCTCTGTCTCTCCTGCCTTATAGCAAAAAAACTCACATGCCTTATAGCAAAAAAACTCTCTCTAAAAAAAAATAAGAAAACATTCCAATGAGGTCTTTTAGAGCGTCAATTTTCCAGGTCCAAACAGAATGGCTTTATAATATTGTTTGGCTTTTTCCACTTCTCAGTCTTGCAGCTATAATGAAGGGCAGCATTATTAATTAGCTGTGCAACTGTGGGGCCCCCAGAAACTATCACTAGATCTCAGATTCCTCAACTGTGAGATACAACGAGATCCAATTTCTAAGGATTCTTTCAACTCCAAAATCCTGTGAGTCTGTATGACTACTCTGGGCCTGATTTTAAATTTCTAAAATATATTATTCTAAAAAAATTCAGTTAAAATATATTTGGGAAAAAAGAAATTCCCACTCTTCCATTGACTTATTAATAACAAAGTTATTTTTTGCATTTTATCTATTTCTTAATTCACAGGAACATTATTAAAATAGTTACAATTATAGTATGTACATAACTTTATATTTTGGGTTTATTTAACTGTAATTTTTTTTTTTTTGAGAGAGATTTTTGCTATAGGGCGCGTGCGCTCGCCAGACAGACAGAGAAAGAGACACAGAAAGCAAGAAATTACCCTCCAGGGGGGACGGCCACGCTGCAATCCCTTCTCCTCCATTCTCCTCTCGGGATCTTGAGCACACACGCACACGTGCCTGGCATGAGTTTAAGCCACCGGGTCTGGAACTTGTATCGTGGTCGTCCACATGGGAGTCCAGCGACATAACCATTACACCAAGTGCTGGCCCCTATTTAATAGTAATATTACATCATGAATATACTTAATATTAATATTATGTCATGAATATACATATCCTTCATTAATATTTTCATGCCTGCATGGTATTTCATTGTACTTACTAAAATACCCCTCTAATGTTGGAAATGTAAGTTGTTTTTCTTGCTTCTGAAATTTTTAAAAATTTGAACCCCTACCAAATGAAATTATATATCTGTTCAAGACTGTTAGTTCTTTCTTTCTTTTTTTTTTTTTTTTGGAGAGATTTTCACTATAGGGCATGTGCGCTTGCCAGACAGAGAGAGAGACATAGAGACAGAAAGCAAGAAATCACCCCCCAGGGGGGACGGTCACGCTGCAATCCCTTCTCCTCCATTCTCCTCTCGGGATCTTGGGCACGCATGCACATGCGCCCGGCGTGAGTTTTAAGCCACCGGGTCCAGGACGTGAACCGCGGTCGACTACGTGGGAGTCCAGCGACATAGCCATTACGCTAACTGCTGGTTCCCAAGACTGTTAGTTCTAAGTGGAGATTTCTAGACTCTTGAAAGTAATATGGTGGATTTCACCAGCATGGATCATACTAAAATTGCAGAAAGAGCCTCCTGACACAAGAGCTATAAATACAAGCTACTTCTGTAAATGTGTGTGCTTGTTTTTTTTTTAAAAGAATTTATTTAATTGTATTTATTATTCTTTTTTAAATTTTATATAGAGCACATGCACTCACCAGGGAGACAGAGTGAAAGGGAGAATGAGGGAAAGTGAAAAACAAGCTGCCAGGACCCAGACTCAAACTGTAGGCAGCCATGTTGCAGTCCAGCCCATCAACCACCACGCCACGTGCTGGCTTTGTATTTGTGCTTTTCTCTTCTCTTGTACATAATCAGCTCTTTCTGATCGTGGCCCCAAACCACAGGCTCTAGATTCTCATTAGTTCCTTTTCCCATGACTGTTGGGCTCATGTCATTTCAACAGTTAAAAGATCATATTAGTATCACTCGACTCAGAGGCAGTATGTTTTGTCACAGGGGAAGGTGGTGTTCCTAATTGGCTACTTCTTGAGATCTCTGCCTGCTTTGTTTTCTTACTTGTAGGAGGCTTTAACTCACAGAATGAAGACATTTAGTGCCAGAAGGGGTCTAGGTCACCTCCTTAGCTTGTATCTTTCCTAAGTAATTGATTTCCCTGGAATTAAAGCCATTTTGTATGATGGCATAACAGACAACCCTGCTATCACACCCTGGGGCTCTTTGTGCTGATTTGGTTTGGACCTTCTCTTTCTCTTCCCCTACTACGTTAGTGGGAGGCTGTACTTCAAGTATCCATGCAACCATTATTTTTCACTTTCAGTATAGTATTCAGTGAATACTGAGCTGTTCAGCACAGTATTAGAAAATAGGCTTTATGTTAGATAATTTTGCTCAATGTAAGTGTTCTAAGCATGTTTAAGGTAGGTTAGGTTAAGCTATGATGTTTGGTAGATTAGGGGTATTAAATGCATCTTCAACTGACAATATTTTCAACTTAGGATGTGTTTTTCAGGATTATAACCCCTGCAGAAGTAAGGAGTTAAGTCTGGAAGTATCTGTAATTTGGTTCCTTTCCCCCAGAAAGATGAAAGCAATGCATTATGATGGGAAAAGTCCAGAAGGCCCAGGTTCCAGTCCAAGTTTTGCAAACCTTGTTGTCTGACCCTGGTTCTCTATAACTCTTGACAGCCATTGTCCAGAGACCGAACTGGATAATGTCTAAGTTTTCTTAGAGCTCTCCATTCTATAAGATGGATAGGTACTTAATTTAATGAACAGTGAGGATGTCTTTTCTAGCTGTGGGCAATCTTAAACAGACATATCCTCTCTCCTTACAGGCATCTTGGCTATCCTCATCCCCCGCCTGGACCTGGTCATCTCCCTGGTGGGCTCTGTGAGCAGCAGCGCCCTGGCCCTCATCATCCCACCCCTGCTGGAGATCACTACCTACTACTCTGAGGGCATGAGCCCTCTCGTCATTGCCAAGGACGCCGTGATCAGCATCGTGGGCTTTGTGGGCTTTGTGGTGGGGACCTATGAGGCTCTCTATGAGCTGATCCAGCCAAGCAATGCTCCCATCTCCATCAATTCCACCAGTGCCTTTATATAGAGATCTGGTGCATCCCTTTGCGCCTGTACCCCCACCCCTGTGTGTCCCCCCAGGACCTGCCCCCAGAGCTTTAAGTATGGTCCAGACTCTGGGGAAAAGCATGGTCACTGTCTGGAAGCCCTTCACCTGACACCTGAGTATCCTGGGCCAGGTAAGGCTGAGGACAGGGGAAAGGGTGGCTAGCAGACACACGAGAGGGGCCACTAGTGACAGTGCTAAAACCACTCATTTATACTTATTTTAAGCCAGAACTGTTCAGCTCTTTCCTCATCCTGCCTGCTCCCCTTACTTCCTGCCTCCCTCCTTCTCACCCACCTCACCAAATTAGTCCTGTTGCACAGCTCACTTTATTTAAAAATTTTAGTGTTCTCCACTTCATATTTTATTCTTTCCTGGGCCAGGCCTAAATTAAGTACGTGGGAATGCCTTCTCTTTGTAAAGGCAGGCCTCTTTCTCATCTCTTTCAAATATTGTACCTCAATATCCTTTTGCATAGTTAAGTCCCCAGGGGGATCTAGACCTACCTAGTCATTTAAAACCAGCTTCCAAAGCTGGAGTTTTTAATCTGAACTCTCTCTGGCTTGCTGTGATCCCTAGGGCAATGCCTCTCTCAATTCTGCAGAGTGAATTACAAAACTCTACTCATAGTTGTTTTCACTCTTTAAAGATATGAAGTGCTGCCTAAATTGAAAATATTTATATTTTATTTAAAATTGTCTTTTTGTTTTTTAGATTGTCTAGGGCTGGGGTTGTTATGAATTGTTTCTTCCTCAGTCAATTTTATTCAGCTTCTCCTGCTGAGAAGAAACTTCTCCAGGAGATGCATGCTTAGGTGCTCAGCACTCTTGGCTGAGTACCCCACAGGCTTTAATCAGGATTATCTAAACGTGTACCTCTGTGGAGAGGCATGGCTTTTGCCTCCTGCTGACCAGTCTAATTTCATACTTTGAAGCTATTGGAGGACTCAGGAACCGTTTACAAGTGCACTAGGCCAAGAGAAAGGGTAGCCCAATGGGATGTGGTTCTATCAAGGGAGGCTTACAAAATGGTTGTATTGTGCATTCAGGCCCGTTTTTCAGCGTTGGCCTGACAGGTGTTTGGTTGCCATCATGCTGGGAAGACACATCTGTTGCCACGGATGAGAAGCTGAGGGCAGGGTGCACAGAGTTTGAAATTAAGTTCAGAGAATTTACAGCGGCTGGTCTGACACTACACATGGTACTTGGTTGTTTACAATCAGTGGGGAACCGGTGCCCCACCCCACGCTGCCGCCATGACCTGGGCTTGGGAAGGAACCACTGAACACTAATTGTGACCCCTACTTACCCCGGTACACCTCTCCGAGCGCATACACAGCCTCAGGTCGGCTCCTCACAAGGTCAACCTTCAGATTGGAGCAAACTTCAGAGGAGGCAGAGGAAGGGGCATTGCCTTGCTCAGAGCTGCCTCTTTGTCCCTCTTGGTGTGAGGAACGTTTCAGAAGGGCATTCGTTAACTCCCCATCTCGTCGGCCGTGTGTTTGTGTGTGTGCGTTTGAACATAACAGAGTGGGTTTCTTGTCTCCTTCACTTCTGTCACCAGGCTCTTGCTTACCTAGAGACGTGGTTTACCCTGAAAGTTGGTTGAAAGACAGCAGGAAAATTGCATCAGAGCTTTATTTTGTTTTTACCAAAGCTTGTTCAGGCTGCAACCCATCCTCACAGCCCCAGCTTTTTCCTTTCTCTTCTGTTCCAAAGTCGGTAGATCTGGCTTCCAGGTGAAGGGACGGGAGAAGTGGACATTCTCGTTGCAGTGACTCCTAACCTACCTAATACCTTATTGACGCAGGAAGTTGTTATCTCTGTTGACCTGTTTTCCTCTGGGAGAATGACACTTTTCACCTACTCTCCCTGCTCTTTGGTCTCTAAGGGATGTTTCTGTGGCCAAGAGTCTCGCTGGGATTAGCAGAGGCCCTACCTGCTGAAGTCTCAGGGTTAGAAGTTGCCAAAGCAGGCTCAGAATCTGTCATGTTTCCAAACTCAGGCTCCAGCTTCCCAGCTGCCAGCCTTGCTGTCCTCCCGTAGTGCTCCTGAGAGTCATTCGTAGTGAGAAGGTTTTCAGCAGAAGGGAGCCAGGCTTGTGTCCTGCCCACAGCTTCCTCACTGGAGCCTTCTGTGTGCTGGAAGCTGCCAGAGGCAGTCCTGTCCATGGAGGTCTGAGATTGGGGCCATGATGCTGGGACCTGAGGACTAGATGGCAGAATTGAGGTTCTCTGGCCCTGGCTCCCAGCAAAGTGCAAGCTATTACTTTAAGGCCCCTGGCCCCAAGAATGTGGTATGTAGAAGAGCCCTCTCAGGCTAGCTTCCTTTGGAAACTCATTCAGCATGGCTGACGCCCTGTGCAATCTCTTTCCCACGTTCATGCTGCATTTATAGCCTAATTGTATGGCTAGTTCAGAGTCCTCCTGTCTTGAGCAGTTGCACAGCTGTCAAGCATTAAGCAAAGGGCTCCCAGTCAATGGTGGAGGAAGAAGCCCTCTGCAAGCAGCCTTCCGGGCTTCCTCCAAATCTCTCCTACTGCCTGCAGGGCTTCTTGGGTCAGAGAGCCTGCCCTGGTGGTGTTTTCCTATTGCTGGGTGGGAGCTAACTTCCCAGCCTTTCCGTGCTGGCCCTGGTCCCAAGTTAAGTAGAAATCTCTTCTCAAAGACAGAGCAAAGGCTTTCTGGACTGAGGCTACATCTGCTGGACCAAAGGCAAATGGGTTTCTGCCCACGAACTGTTGTGTTCTGTCACTACCCCCATCTCTGCAGTCAGTCCAGAGGGGGCATTCTCAGAGCTCTTGTTCTTTAAACACTGCCCTCGGTGGGTAGAATACCTCCTCCTAAGTGCAGGCACTTGCTGGGAGGAGTGTGACCTGGTGTTTTCCATTCACTCTGCCTAGGAGTTGTCACCATTCACGAGTAGCATTATTTCTGTGGTGCTGCTGTCCAGCTGCTACGACCACTTCACCCGCACAAACCCTGGCCAGATGTGTGTGAATGTGTGGCAAACCTTAGCTTAGACCCTCTCTCTTGTCTCACTGTTCCAGCCAAATCCCGCGGCTGATCCTCACTGCTTGCTCCTTGCCCTGTAAAAGGTAAAATTTGCAGTTTTATCAATAGTTTGAAAATGTTGATCTCAAACAGATATTTTAAAAAAATTATTCTCAGGACCAGTGGATGGCATAGCGGTTACATCACTGGACTCCCATGTAGTCAATTGTGGTTCAAATCCTGGACCTGGAGGCTTGAAACTCACGCTGGGTGCATTTGCGTGGGTGCCCAAAATTCCTGAGGGGAGAATGGAAGAAAAGGGATTACAGCGTGGCCACTGCCCCCCACCCTCGCCGAGGGATAATTTCTTGCTTTCTGTCTGTCTTTCTCTCCAGCGAGTGCACATGCCCTATAGCAAAAAATCTCTCAAAAAGAAATCATTCTCTATTTCCCTATTCTCTTGTTTTACTTTTTTTCTTCTCCAATTTCTCTCTTTGTAGAATATCATGTCTATTTAACACTACATATTCACTTCATGTTTTGTGGAAGTGCAAAATCACAATTTATGTCTGCCTAGAGCTCTTTCTAGTCACTGCTCACAGCAAGGGGGTGAGATCAGTGCGTTCTGTTTGGTAGCTGATCAGATGTCCAAGCAGGCCTTAGCCCGCAGTGCACACGCCATGCTGCTTCCTCAGAGAGGAGACACAGTACAGGTGGAGGACTGCTTGATCAAGAAGTCGCCTTCAAGTCTGCCTTAGAATTTAATTTTCTAAAGTACATTATGGATCTCTGAGGCCATTAGGGGAAAAAGGAAGGGGAATGGTTTGTCTCTGAAATTAGAGTTGGTACTTTTAGACAGTCCTACTGGTCGCAAAACTGTTTTCTCTGACAGCATCAGTCTGTTAGTTTTCTTTTCTTTTCTTTTTGCCACTGAGTCATTCCCCGGCCAGGGGATGTAAATGGTGCTGATAGGAGGTTAACAGGGTGAGGGGAGTGAAAATGGGGGTGCCTGTTATTAGCTGTGTTCTTTGGTTCGAATCAAGGGGATGCTGGGAAAGTTATTTTCTTTTAGTGAATAAACCAAACGACTCTGTTGTAAAACATGTCAATGAATGTGTAAGAACTACCGTACAGCAAGTCTTGATAACCAGGTAGTACTGTGTATGTTATGTGCCTACATAGATGTGTATTTCCAGCATGGTTTGTATAGAGATGTGGATCTTGCCAGAGCTTATAGAAGATCTTGTTTTTAGTTATGCACATGGATCACGTGTTCAACTGTTCCTTTACAATAAATGAATTTTATTTTTTATTTTTGAAAGCTTGCAGTCTGTGTCTTTGTTTTCATGCTTTGCTTTTTTTCTTTTCTTTCTTTCTTTCTTTTTCTTTTTTTTTTTTTTTTTTGTCATACCAATCCCTTTACTAGATCTTAGGTTAACATATTTCTAGCTAATGCCAGAGTTCACATGAAGGATAGTACAAATGATATCATAGAACTATCTATGGAATTGAAAGAAGACCATGAGAGAGACTAGAATTTTTTTTCCTGTTAATCCCTAAATTTCCTTCTGCTTCTTTTGGAAACTTGAATAAGGATTTTGAACTCCCTGTGTACATATCAGGTGGTCCCCACATGACAGGTCTGATGGTTAGTTCTATGTTTCTACTTGGTTATCTAATCAAACACTAGGTGTTGCTGTGAAGGTATTTTTGTAAATGTGGTTGACATCTACAATCAATGCCTTCAAGTAAAAGAGACTGTTCTCGATAAAGTGGATGGGTTTCATCCAATAGTTGAAAGGCCTTAAAAGCAAAAGTGAAATTTCCTTAAGAAAGAAGAAATTCTGTCTCAAGACTATAACATCAGCTCCTGCCAGAGAGTTTTAAGCTCTTAGCCTGCCCTGTAAATTTTGGACTTGCCAGTCCTCACGATCATGGAAGCCACTTACTTGAAATCTCTGTGTGTTTATGTATGTGCACATGTGTGTGTATATATATATATATACACACACACACACACACGTGTGTGTGTGTGTGCATTATATGTGTGTATACATATATACTGGTTTTGTCTGAAGAACCCTGACTGACCCTTCACCCTCTGAAGAACCCTAGCACCAAACTTTCAAAATGTGGTTGATTTCAGGATAGGACAGCCGAAGAGATGACTTCTCTTCCCTTTTTGTCACATACCAGAGGAAAAATAGGACATCTGCGCTATCCCTTAGATGATTTAAAAACTAATCTTTGTTGGTTACTGACATGTTTAAAAGCAGAGCCCTCAAGGAACACAAAGTATAACACTTCACCAAAAGAGAAAGGTGGGGAATGTATTACAATTTTCATTACAAATATTATTTCAGAATGGATAGTCACAGGGATTCCTCAACTCTTCTGAGCACCAACCACTAAGTGGCAGAATTGGAACACACTGACAAGCCTGGCTTCAGAGCCTACGCACTTCCCAAGGCACTGGCTACCTCCCCTGTCTATGCCACAGCCTTAGGAGGAAGGGCCAGCTTCTGAGTATCGTGAGGGTTACAGAGAGTGTTCTGAAGTGCCATATGTTGTAAACACAAAAGCTTATGAAACATTTTCTGAAATATTAGCCGACTTGAAAAAGTAGTTCTATTTGTTTGGTTATTCATCTGTTCATCCTGACCATGTCTTGTTCACTTATTTTGGACGGAGCACTGGATTTGTTTTTAGATGTCCACCTCTTCAAGTTATTATTCCTGCTCACTTTCTCACTTCGTGTTTGTAATCTCTCAGATAGTCGGGGTCTTTGAGGCAAGCCCACTGACTGCTAGAAACACAAACGTAGTAACAGTGGGTGGATTCAGACCCTGAAGCTGAGGCTCTCTGTTAGGTAGGCTGATTTCCTTATACTCAGCCCACTGCAGTTGCTGTTGCCAAGAAACTGTCTCTTTAGTGAATATGGTTTATTAGACCCTTGGCCATCAGTTTTTTCCCTCTTCTTAAAAATGGGAGAATAATTGATGTATATAAAATTCACCTGTTTTTCAAGGGTATGGTTTAATTTGTTTTGTAGGCAGTCATATGACCACCATCTCAATCAAAATATAGAATATTTCTGTAACCCCAAAAAGTTCCTTTGTGCCCCTTGGCAATCAGTCCTCACCACTCAACCCTTGGCAACTATGCATCTGTTTTTCTGTCTCTAGTTTTATCTTTTTCTAGAATGTTATCTAGATGGAACCATTAAATATATAACTCTTTGGGTCTGACTTCTTAGCATAATACTTTTTATATTCATCTATGTTGTTACATGGCTTAATAGTTTGTTTCTTTTTGATTGCTGGATGATATTCTATAGTATGGGTGAACTATAACTTGTTTACCCATTCACCAGTTGACAGACGTTTGGATTGCTTACAATTTTTAACTATTATGAATAAGGCTGAATAAGGCTGCTGTAACTATTTATGTACAGTTCTATGTGTAGGCATGTTTTTTTGGGGGGGGAGGGTAAATACCAGGGAGTAGAATTGCAGGGTCATATGATAAATGTATGTTCATTTTCAAAGGAACTGCAAATTGTTTTCCAAAGTGGTTGTACCATTTGTTAAATCCCTACCAGGGGTGTATAAGCGTTCCGGTTGCATATCCTTACCAATACTTAACATTGTGGTCTTTCAAATTTTAGCCATTCTCATAGGTGTGTAGTGATATTTCATTATGATTCTAATTTATATTTTCTTAATGGCTACTGATGTTCTGCATCTTTTCATGAGAGGACAATTTATCTTCTTTTTTTAAGAATTATTTTTATCTGATTTTATTTATTATTATTATTTTAATATTTCCAGAGAGATACACACAGACACACACACACAGAGAAAGAGAGGAGTGAAATGAGAAGGAAAGCCTCCAGCTCCAGGACAAGAACCACAGTAGGCCATGTGGGAGTCCAGCACCCTTCACCACCATGCCACCTGCCAGCCTCAGATTTATTTTCTTTCATGAAGTGTTTGTTCATAAATTTTGCTGCTTAAAAGATCATTGTCTTCTTTTTCATTTAAACTTTTTATTTTGAAATAATTATAGATTCACAGGAAGGTGCAAAGCGATACATGGGCAGGTCCAGTGCACCCTTCACTCCATTCCCCCGGTGTTCACAACTTGCGTTACTGTAGTATGTAATCAAGCCAGGGAAGTGACGTCGGTACAATGTAGAGCACTTAGGCAGATTTCTCTCATTGTACATGCACTCGCGTGTGTGCATGCAGGTGTATGTGCTTGTGTGTATACCTCTGCAGTGTTATCGCATGTGTCGCTTCATATATGCTGCCACCACAATCAAGACACCTATCTGTACATGACCTCAAGACTCCTTCATGCCACCTCTTTGTAGATACACTCACTCCTTTCACTACCCCATCCCTAATCTTCAGCTGCCACTAACCTGTTCTTCAGCTCTGTAATTACGCTACTTCACAATATTCTATAAATTGAATTATGCTGTTTATATCCTTTTGACATTGGCTTCTTTAACTTCGTACCATTTCCTTGATGTTCATACAAGCTGTTGCATGTAAGGATAGTTTGTTGCTCTTTATTGCTAAGTAGTAAATATATATGTACTAATTTAATACAGATTTCATGGTAGATATTTACTCATTCCCTTATTGAAGGAAGTTTACAGTTTCCAGGTTTAGCTTTTACAAATAAAGCTACTATGAATATTTGTGCAAAAGTTTCTGCATGAAACATTTTCATTTCTCTGGGACATGTGGCTAAGAGTGCAATTGCTGGGTTGTATAACTCATTTTTAGTTTTAAAAGAAGCTTCCAGGGAACCAGCAGTTAGCGTAATGGCTATGTCACTGGACTCCCACGTAGTCGACCGCGGTTCGTGTCCCGGACCCGGTGGCTTGAAACTCACGCCGGGCGCGTGTGCGTGTGTGCCCAAGATCCTGAGAGGAGAATGGAGGAGAAGGGATTGCAGCGTGACCATCCCCCCTGGGGGGTGATTTCTCGCTTTCTGTCTCTAATGTCTCTCTCTGTCTGTCTGGTGAGCGCACGCGCCCTACAGTGAAAATCTCTCAAAAAAAAAAAAAAAAAAAAGCTTCCATATTTTGCCAGAGTGGCTTATTACCACTTTACATTTCCACCAGCAACATGTGAGTGATCCATTTTCTCTGCATCTTTGCCAGTACTTGGTGTTGTCACTTTTTTTCATTTTAGCCATTCATCATATGCTATATATGTTTTGTTAGACTTATACCT